GCTCTCCCAGAGCTGACTGTAAGGAGACAGCTATAATATCTGTAGGTTAGGGACAACTCTTCTCTATTTAGCTGATGCCCAATTTAATCAGAAGTACTACGATGGAATGCACAGATCTGACTCTTTGTCAAGATGAGATAAAGTATCTCTGGAGATGAAGCATCTCCTTGAGGCAGGTCGCCCACAATCTAGTACAGTAAACCACAATTTGGATATCAGAGCTTGAAGTCCTTACACATAATGCAATTTTGAAGTATGAGAGAGAATCACAGACCTGTCCTGTAATGTAGCAGGAATGTTAATTTATATGTAATATCTGTAACAATATACCCGGAGCGGAAGGCACGCTGAAACTCATGCCAAGCTCGGTTCCATCTACCAACTCTCCGTAAGTAAGAGATCACGAGTCAAGTGAAGCTTCCTCGAAAAGGAAAGAGGAAGCTCCTCCTACCGGCTGCCGCCACACCCACTAATTAGACATTGTCGCCAGCTCAGAATGCAAGGGTGGGTAGGACGAATAACGTCGCCTTTCCCCCCAGTCACGTGTGACTTACCTCCTCCAGCCCCCACCCGCACTGCCCTGTTGCTGGTTTAGCTTAGCTCAACAGACGGGCGAGAAGGAGGAGGGGGAGGAGCGAGAATTTCCGCAGCGATATCGTGCGTCACCGCTGCTTCCCCCCCCCCCACCTCGCGAGTTTCGCGCTGCCTGCCTGGCCAGCCCATTCAGTTCATTCAACCGCCGCCACCAACGGTTGCTGGCTGCTGCTCCTCGCCTCTTTCCCGGTTCCACCCGGCTGAGGGGGGGGGGGAAAAAAGGTAAGGAATGAAGAAGTCCTGCTGCCGCTTGGCGGGCACTCAGCCTTGTGAGGTGGCTGGTTAGTTGACCGGGCTCGAGGGGCCGCATCCTTCCTTTTCCGTTCCTCCTCGCCGCTCCGGGTGCTGTCCTGGCGGGCTGTGCTCCATCCTTCATTCCTTTCCCCTCGCTCAGGATGGGCGTCCCCGGTTCTAGCCAGCTAGCCAGCTGCCTCTTGGTCTCTTTCCTCTCCCAGTATTGCTGTGAGCCTGGATAGCTCGCCCAGACGGCCGTGAAGCCCTAATTTAGATGTGTTTGTGCTGCTTCAGTCCTTTGCGTGTATTCTTGCTTGGGAGAAGATGCCAGTGAAGCCATCCCGGCATCTTCCGACCCCCCTCCGCCACCCCAAAGGCCAAACGCTGGTTTTTCAGCCCAAGCAGGAAGTATGTTTGTGCGGGATTTTCTCTCTGGGCCTGGGAGCAGGGAGGTATGCTCCCCTCTCCATAGGCCAACTGGGAGAACTGGTACTCTTTAAGTGCCTGATTCTCAGCGTGGCATCATCATAACCAGAATAATAATGGAAAAAGAGGTGTTAGAGGAGCAGTGATAGCACTAAATGGGGATCCTGAAGTTTTAAAACAAACAGGAGGATGGTTTGGGCATATGATTGAGACATCTCACCTATTTGTATTATATGATGCCCTTAATATAATTAGTTCCTTATTGTCACCAGTACGATGAGTATACTGTAAAATTACTATTAAAGTTTTTTAAAAAGTATGTTTTTTAGATTTCTAGGAACTTCTGGTGTAATCTTGGTTTCAGTAGGATGATTTAAGTCCCTTGGTACATCTTTGAGGTCTGTGACTTTTGCTTTCATTCTTGTCACTCTAGCCTTGCCCACCTAGCTTCTGGATATCCCAGTTTTTCATTAAAACATATGGTAATAGTACCTGTTGTGCTTGAATATATGTATATTTCATAGTGACAGTTGTGCTTAAAATTCTCAGGTAATTTGGAAATATGGAATTGGACAAATATATTATTATAAAGTTTTATAAGACAAGCCTGCTATTAAATGATTAAGGATTTTATTGGGATTGGAGCAGTTTTCTTAAGATATTTCTAGGACATCCAGGAAGCTTGCACCTGATTAATATAAAATCTGAAAATGGGAACCTAGACATATATTTGAAATAGAGCATAATGTTTATCTTCTAGTAGGGATCTTCATTCCAGCAAAGGTAAACTGCACTTGGGCCATATCTTATAGCTGTTGGACTTTGGATACTTTTTCAGGCTTCATTCCAATTACAGAAAAAAACATATCAATGTTTGGCAAATTCATGTATTAATGATCTATACTTAAATTATTTTTGTTGCCAATAACCGTACTTTTCTCTTTAAAATTTCTCAATATTTTTTCAAACTTCACAAATATACTTTTAAGCAGTGGTCCCCAACCTTTTTGGCATCAGGGACCGGTTTTGTGGAAGACAATTTTTCCACAGACGGGGGGGGGGGGGGGGG